TTTATAAAAGTGCAAATACCTATTGAAATCTTCAGTTTCTGTAAAATAAAAAATACATAAAAGATCACACACTCTTTACACATAAAGCACTTTAGATAGATTAAAAAAAATGTAGGGGGTCCAGAGTGTCCCTTTAACTGGAGATCATGTAAGGGCAGAAGATGTTTAATGTAAAAGGTTCTGTAATATGTTAGTGTTCCATGCTTTGCATGTGGTTTTCTAATTTAATATACAGAGGATCTTTGTATGCTTTTGTTACTGTACTAATTTTAAAATAAACTGTCAAATTAACGTGTAATAAACAATTCAGTCATCTTTATTCTCTCAAATAAAGGTTACATTTAAGTGTTGACTGTTTAACTGTTGAGATACTGCAGAACTATTGCAAGGAAATCTCAAAGTCCACATGCACGCAGCAAGATTTAGCACATTAACACCGAGCTATGCAATTTAACACCCAAGAACAAATAGAGTGTATTTAAGATTAGAGAACACAATCCCATTATGTAATAAGATTTATTTTCTACACATTCAGCAGATAAAAATGAGGAGTCAGTTGCCTGGCTATGACAATGATTGACTAAGATATAAACGAAGGGTTGGTTAATTTTCCCTGAAGATCAGTAAGGGACCTTTTAATGGATTTTAGTATATTAGGTACATGATCATTAAAAAAAATGTAGTTGCCAGGAAGATAATCCTCCCCCTACATGAATTGCCCGAGGGGGAACGTATACACTGGTTGTTTTTTTTGCTGTTAGTGCAATATCACATTATTTTCTGTGTGTGTGTGTGTGTGTGTGTGTGTGCGTTTTAACTATATTTTACACACATAGTAATAATGTCCATCAAACAGAGGCAGCAGCACCCCACCATGGTGATAATACGTTGGGAGGGTTGTACTGAGCACACAGATATTCAGATAGTTCCAGCCACCCAGGGTTAACCTAGTTACATGTGAGACCAGCTGGAAGTGCATCAATTACTATCAATCTCTCAGACCCCAATCTTAGGGTAAAAATGACTTTGCAGAGAGGTGGGGTAAAACTTTGTGTATGGGATGCTATGAAAGTGCACAAGAATCAAATGATTTAAATAGAGCAATGGTTACTAAACAGACTGGCACAGAGAGAGTGTGTAGGTGTGTACATATATTAGCGCTTTGTGCAATTCACCTTGCTACTGTGAGCTAAAATGCAGAATCTCTCATTTTGACAAAGTAGCAAGTTAAATTGTTAGTGTAGGACTCACTCTAAGAGGTTTTGCCTTGATGTGGAGGATGAGCTTACACTTTATTGATAATTTCAGTGAAACTAAAAGCTCTCCAGTTATTTAAATTTACGTAGGGATTTGGGATAATTGGGTAATTTTTAGTTTTTTTTTACCTGTACTCTGCAGCTGTAATTTTCTGTTAATGCTGCTTTTTATTGTTATTTCCGTTGAATATATTTCACAAATATTTCATGTACATGCAATAAATACCATGTTTATCACTACTTCTGTTCCTTGGCCCTCAGCCCAGAAACCCAGCTAACAGAACATACAGAGAAAACCTTGATTAACCCTATCCACCCACCCTGGTTCCTTTTGACTTCATGGTATGCTTCTCCAACTGCTCCAGATCTCAGTCAATTGCCTTCTCATTTCCTTTATATGTTCCCAGCAGCTTTATTTATTCTCTAATTCTCACTGGCTACCAACTCCAAATTCCCCCTGCTACCTATTGTCCAGCTCCCTGTTTTACCTTTACAATGTAAGCTCACGGGCTGTCTAACTAAGTACTTTATATGTAAGAGTTTCAGTGGCTAGATCCCAGCTCATGATCAGAGCTCTCTTTACCTTGTATACTGGTCTGTGTATATTGTACTGTCTTTTTACCCAGTTGTTCATTGCTGCACAATTTGTTGACGCTTGTAATAATAGTAATCGGTCATTATATAAACATCTGTCTATTTACTCCAGTGAAGTTTCATATCCGTTTGTCAGACCTTCAAAATAATTCATGTTTGTTACTTTATAATTTTGAGGGAACCTTGCAGACATTGAAACGTACTATGTATACTAGGTTTAGGAAATAAACTAACCAACAATGGACTGATTCCTATAAACCACTTTACACAAATAGTTAAAATGTATCCGCATTATCATTATTCCTCATGATTTATTATGTCTAAGTGAAACATGTTATTATTTCTTTAGCTTTGTTATGAATAATAAATGTGATGCACATGCTTATTGAAAATGTATATTATAATTTGATATTGTTCTACCAGGTATTGTTCTAACAGTGTTTTAGACAATTCAATAACAGCAAGTTACTTTACCATATACATGTGGGCTTCATAACATCTGATCAGTGTAAATATTTATCACAGTGTTAGTTGATATTATTCATACCCCAAATTAAGCCATTGATATGAATTCCATTAGTAAGCCATGTATATGAATTCCATTAGGGACCGGCATTTTAGTCTATGTTCACGATGATGTCTTATTTCTCTTGACAATTAGGTTCGTCCTAATTCGTGCTTGCAAGTCTTTGATAATCATGACTCTTCAGAATACAGCTGTCCAGGATGTAGATTTAGGCAGTTTAACAACTACAATTCCCATGATGCTTGGCCATTGTTACAACTAGTAAACCAACATGGAAGTTGAGTTCTCTAACATGTGGAAATCTACTTTTTTGTCCAACTCTGCCTTAAACTATATGCTGGTAGTTTACTGGAAGATGTACAGCTATGACTAGCTTGCAAGCTGCAATAAATGAAGATAAGCAAATCTTACCATGAGTTTGATATGATCCTGAGGTGCATCTCAAAGAGAAAGATGGATTCCAGTCAAGACAAGTACCGATGTAGAAAATACAGGAAAATTACCACAGGTAAATAAAAAATGTATTTACATGCAAAGGACTTAGAGGAACAATGTCATACCATATTTAGAAACACAGAAACATCTGGAGTATGATTCTAGCCAAGAGGATACTGATAGCTATGCTTACCATCACACTATTTTCCTGAATTCCCTTTTAATTCCCACTTAAGGAAATATCCCTGGTAATTTACATGCCTGCTTGTAACACAATCGTTTTAAACTTCTGACCCAGGTTTGAATTTTTAGATAATTTAGTTAGATAATAGTCTTGATTTTCAAAAAGATTCCCCGCTCCTTTATGGTCACATCATTTTATTGAGATGCTGCAAATTGCTTACTAGTGTTTCATTATATGTCTAATTTTGATTAAATATAAGTGATGTAAATCATATTGCATTGGCTTCTTGGTTAGAAGTGTGTGTGTGGTCAGACCTTGGATGTCATTCGAGAAAGGATCTTTTTAGATATTTTTTCTCTTTATTAAAGTATGTCCTTTGGATCACATCTGTCTCTTAATCTTTCGGGGAAATCACTGGCTAATATTAATTCCACCCATTTGTCTTCTGTGATGTGTCACAGCCCTCTGAATGTCCTTGTAAATCATTTTCACAAGAAAAAAAAAAAGATGTAGGTGAGACGCAAATATTCGGAATAAGTAAAAGGTGGTTTCCCGTCTGCAAATGTGACTGTGAGATAGATTTGGGGAGGCACACTCATTATTTACGTTCAAAGGTAAAAAAGGACACCGTAGACATAATTAGGCCCCAAGTTACTTGCCCCTCACCTTATCATTTTTTGTCCATCTCTTTATATTAAGAGTGATTCATGGAATGAATGAAATAGCCACACAGCAAAATTCCCATCTGCACCTCTTCATCCCTGGTAAGATGATTTAGTGGTTCTCTTTAATTTTTATGGAATATTGTTTATTTTCCTTATGTAGCTCGGACAATATGATAGGGTCTTACCCAAAAGGGATTTCTGTTTTTAAAAACACAAATAAAAAGAACAGGTACACTGAAGAACACAAACTGGAAATTGTTATTTTGTAGTCCTTTACTGTTGAGATATAACATTTTTTTTTATTATTCAATAGTTCTTACAAAGCACACTTATCGAGAGCAATGTACAAAATCTAGGCTATAGGCATTGCTATAATCAGAACGATATACCGTTAGACAGGAGAAAAATACAGATGTTAATTAAGAATGTGCTGTGCATCATACAAAAAGATTTCAGATGTTAGCTGCTAAGAGGTAGTTTGCAGTTTTCTGGTGATTTCCAACAGGTGGAGAATTATGATGATCTATAACTGAAATTGGAGGACATGGCTGATTTGGGCACATGACTATGTCAGTCATCACTGCAAACCTAGCTGTTAATTTAAAGACAAGGAAAGCTATTGCTATATGCCTCGCAAGTAAAGTATTTCAATGGTGATTCTCTGGGAGTTGGTCAAAAGCCTCAAGCGGTGCATCTTGCAGACACCTCACCTACCACCATTATTTTAATTCTCCTCCCCATCCTGACATGACAGGAGAAGTGCTTGGGAGACAGGGAGCGACATCAGGAGATAAAAGTATTCAAGTACTAGGAGGTTGAAAGAATTAATGTTGCCAGCGGCAAAGCACAAATAGTGGCAGTAGACCACTAGCATTGATTACCCACATTCTCTTAGAGCAAATATTAACCAATGTCCAAAGACTGACAGATCCAGTGTTGCATGGTTCATATTACACCATCTACTAAACCACAGAACACAGGATTTAAAAACCATGATCTGCCCATTGAGAGAACTACCATTTAAAAAAAAAAAAACACTTTCTCCTGATACACCTGGTCCTAGAAAGGTTCCCCTTCTGTTGCAGCTATTATTAAATAGCTATGAAATGCCTGTCATCAACTGGAATAAAAGCTGAACTTCAAATACAGTTGCTATGAAACAATATTTTGTCAATTAAATATTTTCAGCACAATGTTTAAAATTCCCAGCTGCTCAATTATTTTCTTGAAGATCAATCTACTATAAATACATATAAATATAAAATAATTATAATGAAAGTGAGAAATATAGCACATACTAAGTTACACATATTGATGTATACAATGTGTTCAGAAGATTTGTTTTTAAACTTTCACCTTGGCTCCTCTAATAAGAAAATTCTCTTATTTTCCAAGAAAATCTGTTTACTTTCCGTGTCAACATTAAACAGGAGAAACAGAGACGTCCTATTATTTATGTATGTATGGGTTGATCTTTGTTCCGTTCCAGTCTTTTTAATACAGAATGTGTGAGAATGTGCATTCATTTCAAATTGTGCAATGGAAACCCCTAATTCAGCATCATGAATAATCTCCTATGTGATTGTTACAAGACTCTAAATAAAAAGAATAATAAAAGCAAATTTACATACCGACAAAAAATAGCTTGGGTAAATCATCTCTATTGACAATATGATTGCACGCAGATAATAAACCAAATAGTCATTTATTTCAGGGTTTTAATAGATTGTGCTAATCTATCTTCATTACAGGGTGATTGCAGCCATGTTGGTATAAAATGCTAATTATTTGGTATGTTTTAATACATTTCATGGGCCACAGTATGTGTTTTTTATGATATGTTTTGTGTGCGCTTTTGATTCAAATATACAATTTTTTTTATATTATAATTTATTGGTATACTTATTGTACATAATAGAAGTGTAATAAAATATCTCCAACACTGTTTTTTTACTATTATTATTTTAACATTTACATTTTGTATTTAATAGAGATAGCCCATAATGAAAAGACTGAAATATGTATTAATCTATTTTGTGGTGTCGTTTCCTGAGTAAAAAAAACACCAGTACTTGTGGCAAAAGATGTTTGCCATACTATAAAGGGCAGGCACGAAACCTTCATTTAAACAAGCTTTCAAAAGTAAAGTATAATTACATAAAAATAGTAAATGTGTATGATAGCAAATAATAACATTGTAACATTTCTAGACCGTCAGACAGACAATTTGTAAATGGTCATGGCCCCATACTCCCCAAAATTAATTATCTGCATACAGGGGTATAGCAAGGTCATGAGGTGCCCTGGGGCAAATCCTTTAATTTCGCCACCCCTAAACCTTAGTTCCTGTTTGGATTTTCATTTCCAATAATTCAAAGTTTAGTTGATAACCCTGTGAGGAGCGTAAAGCCTTTTTTTACATTGTATAGGTCTCTGTGAATTATGAGTGTATTATGCACACATACATGCCTAATACACTATATATACACCTAAAAATGTATAAAATAAAGATAATATTATATACACATACGATAATATTATACAAACCCAGGACATACATGAAAACGATAGAAATCACAATGTATCCTTCCTGGTAAAATATTTTATAAATAAAACAAATATATATATATATATATATTGTGTGTGTGTGTGTGTGTGTGTATACATGCATAATGCATTTTTAGAAATCACATTAATGAGAAAAAAAACCATTTTATTGTCATTTTAAAGAAAATAATAAATATTAATGTATATATCAAAGGATCACTTTGAGGAATCGATGCACTCTGACACACAGCTGCTGATGCTCAATGACAAACAGTTTGACTGACCCATACATGCCTACTCTCAGATACACATATTAACACAATGACACTCAGAGTGACCAATACAATAACGCCAACACAAAATCACCAAAGCACACCTTCACTCACTAACACACTCTGGCATACTCACATTCACTCATCAATACATAATGAAACATGTACCATACACAGTGACGCATACAAACACTTTGACACACACACAGGGACCAAACCAAACCCATTGACACACAGGGACCAATATAACTACTATGGTGTACACACACGTAACAAAAACACATTAACATACACACACTGATCAATAAAACACACTGACATGTGTGCATAGTGACCCATACACACACTGCAAACACACTGATATATACTTCGTGGCCAATACAAACACAATGACATACACAAAGGATCCAATACAAACACAATGACACACAGTGACTCATACACACATAGACACTGACACACACGTAGTGACCTATACACACAAAATGAAACACACACAAAAAGGGATCAGTGCAAACACACTGACACAGCAAGGACCTGTACACACACACTGACCCATATACTCACTGACACATACATAGAGACCCCCATTCATGTTATGCTTTACCAGAGCTGCTGAGGCCTGCCCCTAGAACAGAGAATTGGCTGCTGGGATATGACCTCATGATGTATCCTGGCAGCCTTCAGCTCTGTGCATGCAAGGAGTGGTTGGATTCTGCCACTCCTCGCACATCCTTACTGGCCCAGAAGGATAGAGCAGTCTTATATGGCCCACCAGGAAATTTTCCTGTGTCCCGAATTTGTCTAGAGGCACATACCCCCACTTGCCCCACCTCGCTACACTTCTGTCTGCAGAATGTTTTATAGCATGTATTGGCTATGATGTCATGAAGATATCACAAATTTGTATTGCATGGTTCCCAAACTTATTCTATAAACCTGAATAAAACAAAACTATATGGCCATATGGTATAACCAAATCCCCATATTTAGTTGCTAAGATAGGTGATTTTAAGTAACCTTGTAAAAGTTAATACAATTTTCTTTGTGTGTGTACTGTTTCCTAATCTGTATTTTGTAATCCATAAACCTTGTTTAACCTGTACAGATCAGATATTTTTTAGTTTTAGAAGGGTGAGAAGCCAAGTACTGCATGACTACACCAGATCCCCTAGAATAAAACAATGAATGGAGTTTAACATCACTTAGCAATAAGACACCCATCATCTAGGGACTAACCAGAACTGTCAGTTGCATTTACATTTGAGTCGACCCCAGATGCTAATCCAAACATTGCCAACAAGCAGGTGTTAGTTGGATGTAGTAACATCCACCCATAGTAACATGACACTGGCTCACTAAAAACACTGGTTCACTAAAAACATAGTGCTAATAAAGAGATGCTGGATATCTGCAAAACCTGGATATTGGATAGAGTGAGGAAAAGTTATTTAAACAAGTCTCACGATCAATGAACCACAAGTGCTCTACGTCGTTATTAGTTCCATCTGTGATGCCCATATTTTCTGTTTCCTCCTGGATATACCAGTACCAAGCTGTGTTCCACATAGCTGCCTATTTTGTCACATTAATATTTCAAACCAGTACACCATATGTATAGGCACTTTTGGGGCACTGGCAAGTTTGATGGGCACTCAGGAGCAAGAGGGACAAAGAAACCAGCTCTTTTCCCGCGGGCGGGCTTTTCTGTGCCTGGGAGACAAAGGGATGGTCCCTTTTCCCGCTCTTGGACTCCCAGGCACAGAGGCTCTTGGGAAGAAGACCCCTGGTGCTATGTGTGGGAAACCCTGTGGGTTTAGTGGCTGGCTTTGGGTACAAAAGGGAGCAGAGTCCCTTCTCGTGCTGGGACCCCAGGGAGGGGGAGGTTCTTGGGATGTGTCCTTGCATGTTTGTGTGGAAAACCCCTTACACAGGGTTTTGCATAAAAGCCGTGTGAGGTCAATAAAATTGTGTTGTACCTCCAGGACTGTGTGTCGTCCAGTTACTGGGGGGTAAATGTTTCTCTTGATACTGTAAATGGTTCCTGACTGGCTGAAGGAAGGGAATTAGTGAAAGTAACCAGTTGGGTTTCCCTGGGTCCGCTACAATATGAAAACCATAATATCAGATGACTGATAAATGCTTATGTTTTTGTTGAAAGATTCTGGCATTTGAAATGTTTATTTTTACTGTTACAACTAAAGAGAAATAAATAAAATACAAATGTCCAGATGAAGCCCTTGCTATTATAAGCCATGCTATGTGTTATATCCAGACGCACCCTTCATCTTTCCAGCCTTGTGTTTAAGAGCTTTTCTGGGAAGCTCCCACCCTACCTGAGCAGAATGCTCTCCCCGGCTGTTCCCACCTCCTATAACCTCCAATCAGTACCAGCACTTTATTTAGTCTACCTCAATACAATAAGAAAGCAGCCCGATCCTCCGTTTCCTACAGAGCAATTATGGAACAACCTCCCGCACACTTTAAAATCTTCCCCAAGCCTAAAGTCCTTTAAGAGATCCGTCTCTACATACCTCAAAACAGAATGTACGTGTCATGGTTAATTATACATTTCCTACCTGTTCTATGTTGAATGTTGTATATATTGGTATGATATGCTACTGTAATATTTTACCAGACTAAGAGGAAAGATGAATGTATCGCAATTCCCCCCAAAAATGTTTGCACATTTGTACATGTGAGCACAAATTTCCTGTAATAGTTAAAGCTTTATATTTGGTACTATATATAGCATTATACGTACATATTGGATGCCTATCATTTGGTTTCTGTTGTTTTATTCCATTCCAGAGGACAAACAAAACACATTTCACAATAGAAATTGAGTGCTAATTAAAAAAATTGCAGAGACTGTCATCAACATGATGAAATCCTATTCTTCCCTTTACAGTAAAATGTCAGGTTTCAGTGACATTCTGCAACAAGCCAATCACGACTGCGTATTACAACCGCCGAGAGTGGAAGTAACACTAGATAAGTCACTAATTACAGTCTACTAATTACATAAAGAATATAAACAGAAATGTTTTAGCAAGTGTAAACAACCTGGTATACAAAAAAATGGAATGTATATAAACACCCTAAATAACTGATGCACACCTTTAGTGGAGCATTAACTCCAACCCCTCCTCGATCTGTTTTTGTGCCCTTTCCTTCGCTCCAATTATAAGACAGCGCCAGTTTTTCATCAGCCATCTCCATGTCTCCAAATGGCTTTTCAGTGTCAAGCCTGTCAGGAAATTAACTCATCACACAGTGACAGTTGCTAATTTTTTCCCTTACATGTCAGATGGATTGCCTGCTGGAGCTAATAATGAATCACCAATCTCTGATTAGAAGGTGCTTCCGAAACCTAGAACTGCCATTTGAGTGAACTTTTTTTTCTTTACACTAAATGATATCATCCTTAAGAAAGAATTGCATTGAGTGGAATAGCAGTGGTGTGTTTAAGTGTTGTGTGTTTTTCATGTCTTTTTTTCTGATCTGTAAACTAAAGAGAACCAACATTCTTTTCTCATGCTGTCTGCTGACAGATCAACTTTCTTCGTATACAGCTGTACCGTTTTATGAAAAGTTTCCCTCTATGAATCCAATTTGGGTCGTTATAGATACAGTTAATGTAATACATGAACAATTTTTTTTATGAGAGTGTACTTTGAGTGTACACACATACTTACATAAATATACACTGATCATCCACAACATTAAAACCATTGACAGGTGAAGTGAATAACATTGATTATATTGTTACAATGGCACCTGTCAAGGGGTGGCATATATTAGGCAGCAAGTGAACAGTCAGTTCTTGCATTGTATGTGTTAGGAACAGAAAAAATGGACAAGTGAAAATATCTGAGTGACTTCTACAAGGGCCAGATAGTGATGGCTAGATGACTGGGTCAGAGCATCTCCAAAATGCAAGGTTTGTGGGGTGTTCCCAGTATGCAGTGGTTAGCACCAACCAAAAGTGTTGTAAGAAAGGACAGCTGGTAAACAGGCATCAGAGTCATGGGTGCCCAAGGTTCATTAATGCACGTGGAAAGCTAGGGCTAGTCCTGTAGTCCAATCATCCAGAAGAGCTACTTTAGCTCAAATTGCTGAAAGACATAATGCTGGGCATAATAGAAAGGTGTCAGAACACACAGTGCATCACAGTTTGCTTGCATATGGGGCTGTGCAGCCACAGGTCAGGGTGCCCATGATGACCCCTTTCCACCGCTGGAAGCACATTAATGGGGATGTGAGCATCAAAACTGCACCATGGAGCAAAGGAAGAAGGTTGCCTGGTCTGAGAAATCACATTTTATTTTAGATCTGGTGGATGGCCCGATGTATGTGCATCATTTACCTTGGGAAAAGATTGCAGCAGGATGTGCTATGGGAAGAAGGCAGGCCAGCACAGGCAGTGTTATGCTCTGGGCAATGTTCTGCTGGGAAACCATGGGTCATGGTATTAGTGTGGATATTACATGTGCCACCTACCTAGAGATTGATGCAGACCACTTACACCCCTTCGTGGCAATGGTGTTCCCTGATGATGGTGGCCTCTTTCAAGAGGATAATGCACCCTGCAACCAGGGCCGGTGCAAGGATTTTTGCCGCCCTAGGCAAAAGAAAGATTTGCCGCCCCCCCTCCCCCGGGACATCGCAATGCCCCACCCATATGATCTGCCATATGAACTAGTGCCAGTGCTGCACACAGTGTATGCTTACATTAAAAAGCCTGCAGGGACAAACTATAGACACCAGAACAACTTTATTAAGCTGCAGTGGTTCTGGGGACTATAGTGTCCATTTATTGTGAGGTAAAATAGAGATTAGTGTCACTAATAATATACTAGATTGCCTACTTACAATCAGATGAGGATGGTGATGGGCTCTGGCTGCAGTCTGGCTCCACTGGTCTGGTGTAGAGCAGGATCTCTGGAGGCTGTTTGTAACTGTGGTCACAAAATTCAATGTTCTGGGAAGCAGCTCCATTTTTGGGGGCCTCTTACATAGCTCAAGGTCTGGGCCCCAGGGCCTGACGGTGAGTATGCCCATAAAGCCCACCCATACGTCCACCTACATGTTCCACCCATGAGTTCGCTCACAGGGAGTAGAGTGTGTAGGGGATGTGTTATTTGTTACTGTAGACTATCTAATGTGTGTGCTTATGGAATGTAGTGTATAGGGATACCAGTTTGTGTAGGTGATGCAGTGTGTTTGTGTGTAGTGGAAGCAGTGTGTTTTTGTGTAAGGGATAGAAAGCAGTGAGTGTTTGTGTAAGGGATGTATTGTGTGTTTCTTGTTGTGTGTAAGGGATGCGTTGTGTGAATCTGTGTTTTGTATGCATAAGGGATGCAAAGTGTGTTTCTGTGTATGTAAGGGATGCAGTGTGTGTGTCTGTAAAGGGTGCGTTGAGTGTGTGTAAGAGATGCATCGTGTTTCTGTGTGTGTGTGTAAGAGAAGCAGTGTGTGTTTGCATGTGTGTGTAAGGGATGCATTGTGTGTTTCTGTGTATATGTGCAAAGGATGCATTGTCTTTATGTGTAAGGGTTGCGTTGTGTGTTTCTCTCTGTGTAAGGGAAGCATGTTGTGTTTCTGTGTGTATAGGGATGTATTGTGTGTGTGTGTGTGCGTGTGGTGTGAAATAGCTCCCTGTCCTGCCCCTTGTCCTATAGAGCTCTCCCTTCCATTCCTTAGAGATCTCCCCTGCCCCTTAGTGGTCTCTCCTCTCCCCCCCCACCTCCCTTAGTGGTCTCCTTTTCTCCCCGACTTTGCATTAGTGGTCTCTCCTCTCCCCCAACCCTCCCCTAGTGGTCTATCCTCCACCGCCCTCCCTTAGCGGTCTCTCCTCACACCCCTCCCCTAGTGGTCTCTCCACCGGCCCCTCCCTCCTTTAGTGGTCTCTCCCTCCCCTACGTTCTCATCTCCCACCCCCGTGTTCTCCTCTTATTCCCCCCTCCCTGTGTTCTCCTCTTCTTCTCCCCCGTCCCTGTAATCTCTTCTTCTCCCTCCTGTAATCTTCTCTTCTTCCCCTTCCTCCCTGTAATCTTCTCCCCTCCCCCTCTGTAATTTTCTCTTCTTCTCCCCT